TAAAGCCAACATGTTTTTTTAAAATAAAATAAAATAAAATTTTCATGTGATTTATCAGTCTTCATACTGATTACAGGTTGCTGAACACACCCTGTAGAGTGTCTGGTACCCACCATTCACACTACATACATCTATTACAGACAGATTTCACACCCTGCAAATGTGGGTGGGTGATTTCATAAATCTATCAAATGCAAACCCAAATAAATGACACAGATCAAGCCACAAATCATCCAGAGACACTGAAGAATAGGCAGGCATTCAAAAAACCCACATCTTCGGTTATATAACAGCATTTTTGTTTTATTTAAGGCACCCTTTAAAATGTGGCGCAAAGGCTTTAAATATAGACTAGGGAGTCACGTGGACCACCTAGATTCAGGGAGAGATAATACGTTTTCTAGCTAATTAATTGGAGGCAAATATATATATATATATATATATATTTGTACTCTCTTTTCTTATAAAAGTGTCATTATTTGCCACCATGTTACCAGATGGGACACATTTTCCTTGTTTCTGCCTGCCCATTTCTAAAACACGCTGCAGCTATCCATGCCTAGCCTAAGTCTCCTCCCGTCAAAGCTTCAGAGAGGTGCAGGCACATTTTTTCAGCTGAATATCTTCCACAGTATCCATTACCAGACGAAGCAATTTAAAACTGGGAATGTCGATTCTAAAATTCAACCTCTTTGCTTCCCCACAGGAACGATCCACACAATGAAATCTCCCCTCGTTGACACAGAGGAAACCACCATCACTAACCCTCCATCCCTTTGGTTTAAACTACCCAACCTAAAATGGTGCTAAAATTACACAGCACCACCTCCTCATTGTGGGAGGCAGGAGGAAAAGGGGCCCCCTAAAGCAACACACACCCCCAAGCCTCGTTCTTCCAAGACACGCATCCCTAAACAATGGGGACAGGTATGCGAAAACACCCGCGCACGTTTTTCCATACCCAAACCTCTGCGAGCATGGAGCTAAGGTGGAAGGGATCCCAACCCGATTTCTGGCTGCCTTCTGCTAGGGATGGGGCGGGGAACAGCTTTGAAAACTACCGCAAAACGCTTACCTGTGCCTTGAAAATGTCAAGTCGTGCTTCTCCTCGCCACTGCAAGCAATTGGGACTTGTTTGCTGCAAAAGGGGTGGGTACCTCAAAAGACAAAGCCCAGATTCCACGGCCACCAGCAGTCCTGTGCTACCCGGGCTCCTTAAGCTTGGCAAGGGAGGCTGCCCAAGGAAGGCTTAACTGGCTTTTGGCTTTGTTGTGCGACTCCGCCTGTCTCCTTTTCTCCGCCGGCTCAATTTGTTGCTGAGCCTTTCCCTACAGCTGCTTCGCCTTTCTTCTCCTGCCGCTGATGGGAGCGATTTGCATTAGCCCGTCCCTCCTGAAATGCGGTTCTTCACACCAGGCTAGGCAAATCTAGCACGCTGCATCTGCCAGAGGGCGGTGCCTGCGCCTCCGCCCTTGTTCTCCCCCGCGCGGAATTAGAGACCCCGAAGAACCGGGAACGCGGCAAACGTTGTCCCCACCCGCTTGCCACCCAATTGAGCCCTCTACATCGTAACTGGGGTCCTGTTTGTTTGGTAGGGATCCCGTTGAAATAAAACAGGTCTTACTCCTAAGTAAGTGGACATTAAACGGCGACATGCTCTACTCTTCGAGCCTTACTTAAGGAGACATTTGCCCACGGTTAGTTTAATCACAGTTCACGCAACCCAGGTTTCTAGGTTTGCATATGATGTGGAACCAAGAACCACAGGGCTGGGATAGAAAATACGCTAAGCTGTCACATACTTGGGTACTTGGTGGTTCATTATGCTTGTGCAAAGATACTGTGTTTTACTACCATAACTAGGCTATGTCCTCTACTCTTCAAGCCTTACTTAAGGAGATGTTTGCCCACAGTTAGGTTAATCATAGTTTATGCAACCCAGGTTTCTAGGTTTGCATATGATGTGGAACCAAGAACCACAGGGCTGGGATAGAAAATACGCTAAGCTGTCACATACTTGGGTACTTGGTGGTTCA